GCGACAACAGATTTGGATTTACTGAAGAAAGGGAAAATAGAGAAGCGAAGAAAACAGGGAAATGATGGAACAAAAAACAAAATAGTACAAGATACATATGCTAGTAATTCCCCTCGCCAATTGATTTTAAAAAGTTTATGATTAAACTAGCTGTTGCCCGTGAGCTCGTCCACTCAATATTAAGATAAAAAAGTTGCATATAATATGCCCGTCTATGTCATCTACCCTTCAGTGCAAGTCCGATCAAAATCGGCCCTGCCGTTTCGGAGATTACCCGGAACAAACGCGGCTTATAAACAGACAGACGGACAACAAGAATTGAATCGCGATTTTTTTTATTAGCAACATAAATACATCATCTTCGCGAAATCTGGAATTTTTCTTTTGACATTACAAACAGACTGTAATGATACAATATGTATAGATATAGATTTCCTAAGTCCACGAACTTATATATGGTTAAACTAGATACTTAGGTAGCTATTCAAATAATATTAACTATAGGGCAGTTGTTGTGAAACGTTTTGTTTATTGTGCATTATACTATTTGTTGGAATTTGCATAGATTTGCGAAATTGTTCGCGGGCGACTGTTCCACTTATAATAACCAAGGTCGATCGCTTTCAATATAATTATTAATTTTATCTATAAATAATATTTCAATATCTGTGATTTAATTTTAAAAAGATTAAAAGAGCAGACACATGATTACAATAAGCAACTGGCACCTGATTTTCTTGTCTTTTTTATTACTATACTAGCTGTTCCCATGCGACTTCATCCGCATATAATTACAAAAAAAAAATCATTTTATTGTTCACATTTGTCAAATTATCAATTGCAAATGTAAAAATGACATGACATACTGTCAAACCATGGCAACCTAGCTTCCTTGATGTTGGCAGCAACTTATGATCTCTTTCCCACATTAGAGTTTTTATCCAAAATATTTACCCCTAAGTTTAACAGCGTAAAAATATATAGCCTAAAGCGTGACGTAAGTGTAGGGCTTTTTATTACAAAAAGAGTTATTCGAAACTATGCTGTGATTACTAACATCTTAGGCAACAAAGAAGTGTGTGTTTACGCTTTATTATAATAGTATAGATATTTATAAAAAAATATAACTAGTCTATGTTACTTACGGATAACGTAGCTTTTAAAGGTGAAATAATACAAAAATCCAAAACTACAAAGATTTCCTCCAGTTTACAAATAAGATATACCTACACCAATATGTACCTTACATTCAAGAAAATTGTAGCGACCCTCTATACCAGATTGCGACCAAGCAATGGTTTTCAGTCTAAACAGATTCGATGACGTAATAAAGGCCGCGGTAAGAGATCGGAGTGTCAAATAAGTGCATAAAATAAGCGACAGACTGTTAGCTGTTGGCACCATTCCCGCCCACTGGCCGGCAAGGTCATCCAGCTTATGTAACGCCAGCATTCTTAGTACATTAGCTTTAAATACAGTATTTAGTTGAATATCTAGAATCTAGATCACACAAGTACAAGTTATCTAGAATACATTTCATGTCGAATTAAGTTGTAATGCGACACAAAATTTAAAAACCCGGTTAATTTTGACTCCATTCCAATTTCAAATTTTAAATTTCGAAGGAATGAAATTCGAAATTTAAACGATTTTTTTTGTTTATCAATTGTTTTACAGTTATAAAATATTAGGTGCCAATTTCATGACAATTTGCTAATACTTCTAGGAAAAGAATAACGTCGTGTCAAAGAAAATTTACATTATAAAATGCAATGTTTTTCCTGTAAGTAACTTAAATAAAACAATAGCAATTTAGTTATGTTCCAGTTAACCCGTTTCATGCATTATAAGAGCGGTCGCACACCTAAAACTAAATTATCGCATAACTGTTGACTGTCGATTGTTTTAAAAATCGAGTAGTGTGCGCATTTTCATAGGTACCAAAGCGACACTTCACAGTTGTGCAATATATTAGTTTCAAGTGTGTGCACCCACTAAATGTCACAGTCCTGAAAAACAATAACTAGGCCATAAACGGTATACGACGGAATGCTAGCTATGAATTTTGAATTACTTTTTAATATTGTCGTTTTTTTCTTTTTAATTTTCGCATATCAACTTGTGTTATTCCGGCACACCTAACATGCCAGTTAGAGGAGCGGTCGCGATAAGTAAACCAAAGTGATTATTTAATTTAAGTAATAGTATGTTACTTGAAATGAATGCGAATTGCCTGACCTTAAGTTAATAATAAATTATTGACTTGCCTGTTCATTCTGCACATTCACAATTTTTACATTCCATAATTGTAATTTGATAATAGTAAATACTTAGTCAATACATAGTCTTTGATTATGTTTTAAAGACGGTGACTCAGGGGTTTAAGCACTTGACTTGTAATTTACAGGTCCTAGGTTCATATCTATATTTCCTATAGATTATAGAAATAGTATACTAGATCGATTATGGCCTAGTCACCCCTAATGTTATTATTATCTCGCTACCATATAGTAAACGATACGGCTGGGAATCTACATGTAGGTGGCAAACTTACATGCCAGTCATAGGCACATGTCAGTTACGTTGCTTAGCGCATGTCAATACCTGGCATGAAAGTAACTAGCTCACCATTTCTTCTGTGGCGACGTGGGGATTAATTGACGCTGTCATCTCTCATACGATATCGTTGACATTTTACTGTCATTTGTAACTAGCTGGCATGCCAGCTGGAATAGCGTACATTTAAGTTTTTTAATACGATTTCCTTATATTATAATATTCTCAGACGCCAATGCATTTAGCGTGTGAACACATAAAGACACATTGACTTGTAGTTAATAATTTACGATTTGGTCGCGCCCCGCATTTACCCGCATGCTACTGTTACTAATGACTAACTAAAGTTGCAACTTTAACTTAGATATATTCTATGAATAACATGCGTGCTGTGTGGTTAAGTTACAGATGCCAAATTATAATTGTTAACGTAATTTTAACTGCCTTAAAACATTTAGAAAAAGCACTGTTTTTATTTAAAGATAGCTGTTCCCGTGCGATTTCATTCGCATGAAATTATGAAAATTGCTTTATTGATTACATTTATCAAATTATCAAAATGACTTGACATGACAAACCTTGGCAATCTTGCTTCCTTGAAGTTGTCAGCAACTTATAGTGTGTTTCCCACATTAGGGTTTTTATCGAAAATATTTACCTCCTAAGTTTAATAGCGTGAAAATTTATAGCCTAAAGCGTAACGTAAGTGTAGGGGTTTTTATTAAAAAGAGAATTATTCAAAAATATGCTGTAATTGCTAACATCTTAGGCAACAAAGAAGTGTGTGTTTACGCTTTATTATAATAGTTCAATGCTTTTACATATGTTTATATAATGGGAATTAATGTTTAAAATATTATTTAATTGGCAATTTTATTTAGAAGCCTCGCTCAGTAACTTGTTGGACGAATTCGTTGCATTCTGAGAAGTTTGCTTCACGGTTTTATTCATTACAAAACATTAATCAATCATTAACTAACAGTGAAAGCGTATAATTGTTACTAAATTCTCATTTCGGGAAAAACTTGTGAAATATATTTTAATTTATTCATAACCAGCTGTTCCCGTGCGGCTTCATCCGCTCTAAATTATGAAAATTTTATTTCATTGTTTACATTTGTTAAATTATCAATAGCAAATGTCAAAATGACATGACATGGCAAACCTTGCCTCCTTGATGTTGGCAGCAACTTCCATACAAAGACCATTCTTTTTCCCACAATATGGTTTTTATCCAAAAACACCCCTAAGTTAAATGGCGTGAAACTATATAGCCTAAAGCGTGAAGTAAGTGTAAGGCTTTTAATTAAAAAATGAATTATTCAAAAATATGCTGTAACTGCTGACATCTTAGGCAACAAAGAAGTGTGTGTTTACGCTTTATTATAATAGTGTAGATGTGCCAAATTTCCATGGGCGTCTTCAATAACTGTTATTCTGGCTCGTTTGACAACTTCCCTTATAAAAAAACCTTTTATTACAGTGTGTACAGGATATAGTGCTGGTCTAAGCTATTACAATTTTCTTTAGCAAAAATTTTTTGCGGTCGCAATAAAACTACCCCTATATTTTAATTGAGACACCATTTAAACGAACTCAACCAAAGAATGTGCATCAAGTAATTAATATATTTATAAACGCCACAGACAATAAACAAAATGTGTGATTTAAATGTTAACAAATATTACTAAAACCCGCGACTTCATCTGACCAGGATTACAAAAACAGAGTTTTAGAGTTTACACGGAAGAAACTCGAGTTTTCGGACAGACAAAAGTTTTAATAATTATTATTTCGTTACAATTAAAGCAAAACGTCATGTTATAAACGCCTATTCATACGTCAATGGTACGGAAGCTCATTTGATACTATCTTGACAGGATGTGAAAATTTATCCGAGTAACCTTGTTCTTTGGATAGTAATCTTAAATTGAGTCTAGATTATTTTATACGAATCTTTAGCTATATCTATACCGATTTATACTTCTATACTAATATAAAAAAACCTAAACACACTCTTAGTAATGTGTCAGCAATCACAGCATTTTTGAATAAATCTTTGTTAAACAAAAAGCTCCATACTTACGTCACGCTATAGGCTATATATTTTAACGCTATTTAATTCAGGGGATAAAAACTTGGAAAAATGTTATTCGAGAAAGAGAACAAAAGAAAGCAACAATGCAGCAAGATTCTCATGGTTTTAATTA